AATATGGAACGCCTTCATGACCCATGTCCCTTGTTCGTCGATGAGGTGAAAGCAGACGAGCTTTTTCTTTTCCCTTTCAGCAAGGACACCGTACTGAAGGCAATTCGCAGTGGTGAGTGCATACCTCGTCAGCATACTGCCGAAAGAAATCTGGACGCTCGATTGGCCGTGGTCATTATCAGTCCTGTGCAACCTGACCTAACCTGACCTAAACTACAAGGCGGACGCCTTCTAATTCTGGAGGGACTTCGGTGTTGTCTTGGTCTATTGAATTTACGACGTGATTTTCGAGTTTGAGATGTTGGCAGTCTCGGATAAGCTCGATAAATATTTTGGTAGAATTATGGGAATCCTTCCAGAGTCCCTAAGCTCCGTTGAATCTACCAGGTAGCATTATCCTGTTCGCATATCATTTGAAGAATGTTAATCCTTTTCTTTGCCACTATTGGCAGAGATCTTATTTCACGTTTGTCACACATAGACACCCAAGAAATCATCGAATGGGTCTATAATCATCAGATACTCCCGGAAAATGGTATTTTGTCACATTTTCTAGTCCCATCTCATTCAGGCTACGATGCTCATTGTGGATTTCGTGGCTCTTCTTATGTTAGTCGTCTAGCTGATCAAAAGACGGTAAGTTAAATTCGCCATGAATCAGGGGCTTCGGTTGTTCTCACATTATGGTATTTCATTCAATCGATTCTTGTATGATCCACACTTACGCTCAGGTCGATGTCAAGAGGTTGGTTGTGATACAAACAAAATCCGGGTTCAAAACTATCAACGAGATCTGTTTATGATCAGAGTCTTTTGATTATTTATAGGAGAGCAATGTTTCAAATAATCCTTATTCACTACTCACATGATCAATCTCAGGATTAACAGTCAGTTATTTAAGAGAAAGAGACATTATTCCCTCAAAAATATGTGTAGTGTAACCCGATAGTGCTCTAAAGTATTTGAAATTCGGAAGCCCAGCGAGTGACTGTTTAGTGTGAGCTCAGTGAATATAGCCCACCGCGGCAGTGGATGCTGTCATTGCTCCACTACCCAAAGGTGGGGATAAGGGTAACCCTGGAAACTACCGATCAGCCAACCTTACTAGTGTTTTGGGTTAAGTAGTGAAGCGAATGATGGCTGCACGGCTTCGGCAGCATTTGGTGTGCCACCAACAACTCGGTTTCCGGCCGGGTCGCTCATGCCTCTCAAACCTGCTACTGGCCCGTGAATGCTAGACCGAGGACAAGGTCGATGGATACGGAACGTACATCATCTTCGTGGACTTCAGCAAGGCCTTCGACAAGGTGCCACTCGACCGTCTTCTGCGAAAGCTGTCCAGCCTGGGTGTAGGTGTGGTCATGCTGAATTGGCTGCGAGATTTCCTCATCGACCGGAAAATCTGCCTCCGTATTGGCAAATCGCTCTCTGCGTGGTATTCCACTCCCAATGGGGTCCTCCAAAGCTTGGTTCTTGGTCCATTGCTCTTTGTGGTTTATGTGAACGACCTGCTCGGTCAACTGTGCAGCCCATCATGTATGCGGATGACCTCAAAATCTGGCGTACCGTCGAGGATCCGAATGATCGCAATTATCTTCAAGCGGATTTGAACAACCTGGCTCAGTGGGCAGACACATGGGCTCTTGCAATCAACACGGTAAAGTGTGCTCACCTGTGCTGACTCAGAGGTAGTCTACGTTCACCTCAACTACCTAAGCAGGAAAAGCAATCCACCACAACTAAATTATGAAACTAAATGGCCAGAACTTAGTTGTGGTGGATTACTTTTCCTACTTAGGTAGTTGCGTGACCAATGACGGTAGTGCAGCAAAGGAGATAACCACCCGCATTTTTAAGGCTCGAGCAGCATACGCAGGACTGAAACACCTTTGGCGTAGACGCAACGTCTCACTGAAGTTGAAAAGTCGTGTATATTGTGCTAGCGTTCGTTCAGTTCTGCTTTATGGTTGTGAGACCCTGAATTTGCGAGTAGAAGATATCCGTCAACTGTAAGTTTTCGATTATCGATGTTTACGTAATTTAGTCCATGATGGATGGAGCGAACGGGTTAGTAACGTGGAGGTAAGCCGTCATGTGTTTGGGAGTCTGTCAGGTATAAACCTGCTAGCGTACCGAATTCAGATTAGTAGACTTCGCTGGCTAGGGCACGTATTGCGTATACCCTCTGTCGTCTGCCGCACCGCGCTTTATTTGCTGTAGCTAATCCGTGCCGGAGAAAATCACGTAGAGGTCAACAGATGACATGGAGACGAGGCATGAAGAAATGCACAGAGCGATTAGGTATAGTAGGTGTCTCTCGCCTTCCAGGTTGGGGTCCGAAAGACTCCACAACTGGTTGGTTGGAGACATTAAAAGATATGGCAGCGAACAGGCAGCAGTGGCGTTCTTGTTGTCGTTTCTTACCAGGTCAGAATGCTTGAAACGGTATGTATGCGGAGTTCAATTGCGTACTCTGTGTGTTGACCATAGAGGTTTTTCTTCTTACCCTACCTTAAAATAGGTCCAATCCCAGCCCACCTTAAATTTTACCTCTAACCTTGCATGCATTGCAAGTTTGGCAGTGGTCAGTGAAGTTCGCTTCACTGTATTCCGCTATACGATTATGATAATGGTGATGATGAGTCTCCAACCTCACCCTGATTGCGGAAGTAGTAGATGAAGTGAACAAGTTGTACGATCTGGACAGCTATCTCACCTGGCGGAAGCATCACAGATGAAGTGTCGGCGCGCATACGTAAGGCTTGGTTGGCATCTACCAACTTGAGACATCTGTTGCGCCGTCGCGACTTTCGGTTGTATGTGAAGAGGCGAGTGTATGCTGCGGCAGTTCGACCAGTTCTATACGGCACAGAAACTTGACCACTACGGGAATAGGATAAAACCGCTGTCTACGTCGCATTGCATGAGTCTGGCGGGGTAACTAGTCGAGCAATGCTGAGGTCAGGCATAGAGTTTTAGGCAGTCGCTGTCGTCCACTGGAGCAAGTGATCGACCTCCATAGATTACGCTTGTTGGGACATGTTCTACGCATGTCACCAGATAGGTTGCCACGGCGAACGATGTTTGCCAAGGCTGGTAGCGATTTGAAAAAACGAAGGGTGGTCAAGCTAAGACCTGGCATGAGGGTATGAAAACCCTAACCGGAGACTAGGTCACATAGGCCCCGTTAGGCTCCCTGGCTGGGGACCTCGGGATGATGTTCACCGATGGTTAGCTACACTGAGTGATATGGTTGGGTGTCGCAAACAGTGGCGCTCGTGCATCCACTCATTATTCTCTTAACATCACTGTATATGAATTCTCCATCTTCCGCTTGAATTGGCTTTTAGGATTCCAATCTTCATTCTGCTCTATTATCCAAATGGGACACCAAAAGACAACAACTACAATCGGTGCACGAAAGTGTATAATTAATGGTTGTTTTGGCAGCGGTCAGTGAAGCTCGCTTCACAGTATTTCGCTGTACGATGATGATGATGATGGTTGTAAAAACTGAAACTGAACTGGATAGGGCTGTTTCGAGAAGCAAGTCTGTGACGAAGTTAAATTGCAAAGGAGATAGAGGGCATCGCTGACAAGTATCACTTTGTAGTGAACTCGGAGGAAAAACTGCTGTAAGTTCGGACCTGTCTCCCGGTATTAGACAACTCCAGAGCTTAGAGCTGAGTTTAAGCCACTTTCTGATTGAGGAAGATGGAAATGGTGGGTTTACGAAAGGAGTGTCTTTGTTCTATTATTTAACAAAGAGTGGAAATGTGATCGATAAAACCTTGATCAGGTCAAAAACCAGCTTGGTTCTCACGCGTTCACGTGTGGCAGACAATCGACGGAGTATAATGTCAGTGAGAAGTTTAGAGACAATGTTGATTCAACTAATTCCCTTGTGTTTTTCACAAGAAACTCGGTTTCTTTCTTGCAAATCGGTATGGTTAGCGATTCACAACATTGCATTGAAACTTCTTCCCCCTCCCACACTATTCTCAGAATTTTCGTGGACTCCAAAACCAAGGCTGACCCTCCATCCCTAAAAATCGATGGGGTACAGCCCTTCTGGATCGGAGGCCTTACACCCTTTGAGGTTACTGTTTTCCCGGATAAACCCCATTCCAGATAGAGGACTGCTATCAGCTGGCAGTATTTGCACAGTTGAAGCGGAAATTGAGAGCCCCAGAGTTGACAGGGTCTAGCTGAACTGTGCCTTAGAATGTTCAGCCTATCGTTCAAGACGGCGTTGCTAAATATCAACCAGTGTGCTGCCAGACTCCTTAATTACCTCACGCCTAATTAACCCCGTACTCCTAATTTAACGGAAACAATCGCGACTATTACCGATCCTCACGGCCTTCTCTATTTCTTTATACTTCCTTATCCACCACTCTTCGCGGTTCTTCTTCAAGCTCTTCATCTATGTATTGTATTGTATTTCACACATCTGAATGCAGACTGTGCCAAGCAAATCATAATACAGTAATCTTTATAAAAAAGAAAGTTCCGTAAGCTGGCGCTTTAGGGACTTGCTTTTTCTCTCCATATATACATATATATATATATATATGTATGTATATGTATATGTATATATATATATGCTAAAACGTCATTCGAGGTTTGTCCGTTGGTGAAATGTGGCTACCTAAATGATAAACCTTATCCACATGCTTCTCCTTTCATCCCAGTTAGGGCCACGTTAAGAGTAGACCCCTCGTAATTCTGTGTTAACACTAAGACATGTTGCACACAGCTATACTAATACTCAGACACTATAGAAACTATTGCCACTTACCTGGGTTTGCATTCAGCAGTACAATGTCGTCTGTATACTCCAGGTCAGCTACCTTCCCACATGGGAGCATATCGATGTCGCTATTCTCGCATGCGAGCAGAGCTGTGTCCAGAATCTTATCCATTACAAAGTAGAATAGGAAGAGAGTGTCATTCTGACAAATACAGCTTTCCGTGGCAAACTCGGGCGAAAAAGAACCGTTTGCGGGAACTCAGCTTACTCTATTTTTTCCCGGCTTCTTATAATTTTCCTATGTTCAAGCACACGATCAATCGATATTTTTGATGAATCTTTCCCCATTCCCGTTGTACAGTGGTGTACAGTGATTAACTGTGTGATGCTCTTTTCGTAATAATACACTAGCTTCCATAGGCCCACACTCCNTGGACGAGAAAATTGTAACTGTTACCATCAACCATAAGCTTTTCCGTTTCCTTAGGTTTTACTATCCACCACTTCTCGAGCTCATTCCGCAGACTTTTGAGGAGTTGGCCTTTAAGGGATTTGCGCGTATTCCTATATTTGGAATCTGACTTCCACAGTAAAACTTTCCTTCTTCTAGGAGTTCACAACTTAGGTAGTATCGATTTACGTCTGCAAATCGCAGTTAACATATTTAACTTCAAACTTAGTTCTTTGCACTTATACTGTTTTTGTATCCTGTATATAGTTCACATGTGTTATTTCTTGATGTTGGATTTGGTAAATAGCACAAAGCTAAACTATACAGAACTGGTTAGTAATTGCATACTGGATCCCCCTTCTGTTTCTTTTTTTGTACCTATATTTAGAATTCGCCCTACGATTGCGGCCATGTCACTATGGCATACAATGCCTTATGTATTCTACTCACAATGGGTGATGATCTTTCCAGTGTTGATCGTCGTGGAGTATTAAATGGAATCACATCTCTGCAGTGCAAAGATGAGCCAGGATTGTTCCAAGCTAGCTTGATAAGTCCTGAACGAGATATGCGTTTTGTGTATTCAGCTGTGGCAAGTTGTTTCATATTGGACGGATTAGATGTTCTCGATAAAGACGCAATCATATCCTTCATCGATCGTTCCTATGTGAGTTTTGCTTATTTCGTGTTGCCGCTTAGTGTTTGCTATCGGCTCTATCTATTCGTTTATCAGACTCAATGAAATAACGTTCCTTAGTTTCATTCAAGTGTATACTTTAAGTACTTTAAGTACTCCGAAAGGTCTAGTTCGGTTTGCTTTCTTCTGTGGTACACCCTTAGTTCTCCATATTTCAAGTTCTTGCTTTCTTTCAATATTTTAGATCTTAAATCCATTTCTGATTCAGATTAACCCTAAGTATTGATGTTGATATGATCCGGTATTCTACTGCCAATATTATTGCCAGAATGTCTGCTAAATCGCAGTAAAACTGTAAACCTGTCCGGAGCTGCGTTGATCACATATTTACGCTACACCAGATCCTCGAACGACTTCANAGATCGACCATCATTGTGCTTTTGGACGTTTATGCTGCGTTTGACTCAGTTGGCAGAGCAGCTCTTTGATTTTGTCTGTTAGGAAGTGGTGTGTCCGAGAAGTATGTAAACCTTCTAAAAGCCGTCTACTCAAGCATATCAGGCCGCGTCAAGGTCTGTGATCGCATCTCCCCTTCGTTTACCATCACAAGCGGAGTTCGACAAAGGTGCCCGGCTTCATCCTTCCTCTTTAATTTCGCAATAGATAAAATCCTAAGCAGTATTCTAGAAAACTACAGCGCCTCCGGTGTGGAGCTCCTCCCAGGTGATCGACTGCGTGACGACTGACAATATCGTTTTACTGAGACTCCTCCCACGACGCTCAAAACGTCCCGTGTAAGTTAGCATTTTCCGTCACGCAGTTTGGTATGACATTTTCTCCATCGAAATGTAAGGTTTTACTACATGATTGGCAAGAGGCTACACCTGTCTTCACGCTCATGAACGACCATTTGGAAATCGTCGATCACTTTACTTTTCTCGGGAGTTGTTTCAGCTCAAAAGGACTGGCGGAAGAAGTATCAGCGCGTATCCGCAAGGATCGAGTGGCTTTCGCTAACCTACGTCACTTGTATCGCTGGCGCGATCTTAGTCTCT